ATGTGAGTGAGAAATCACGAAGTAGGAAATACTGTACCTATAACCACAACTCAAGAAATGCATTGGCACCCACGGGATGGTAGTCACTGATAGGAACCATAATGCCTGACCAGTTTCGAGGGAGCTTATAGCGAAAAGGGAAGTGTATCTGTGTAAAAAAGAGTGAAACAATGTTAAAATAGTCAAATATTAACATAACATAACAATTTCGCTTTATTCCAGAAACAGTACTTGTGGTACAGTGTGGAATTTTCAGCACATATCTACAATATTGCATCTAATTTCATCGTACATTTAAAAGGAGTATTATAAAAAAATAAAGATATATAAAAAAAACCAAAAAAAGGAAACAGAAATAACCAAAAAAAATGCAAATAAAAATACCGAGTAAAAAAGATCAACACAAATAATGAAAAAAATATTTCAGTATTGGTTAGTGGAAGCTACGATATGTGTATGCGTGGTGAACAGTAACAGCTATAATCATACGGGAAATTATGAGATGTTCTTAAAAAATCTTTATAGCCAAGATGATCAGTTAATTTGATTGAACAACACTAAGCAATCATAAGATAAACATTTCAGGTTGTTTTTTTTTATTGTCAGTACTAATGCGGTTGTTTGTAGTGGTAGTGTGAGGAATCATGCATAATACAAAATTTTTAAGATGGTGATAGTGGCAATAACAAACAAGATTGTCAGTTAAATAGTGCCGAACAAATAACAACCTCAAAACTAATGTTACATGATGGTTAATGACGGGACAATTTTTAATAATCATAGTGATAATATAGTCGGACCCAGTAGATGTACAAAGAAGGAATAGAATAAAGAATAAAAATGTAAGCCAATGATAATAATTTTAAGCAGCTAAGTATGTTTAAGAAGGTTGTTCATTATAGAGTACAACTAAGAGAGTGTAAGGGGGAAATGACAAGGGCCAAAATTATGTTATTAACAACAAAGCAAGTCATAGGTTTCACGCTTAACATTGTCTCTGTCACTTAGAACACGGGCCAAATATGGTATCGTTGAGTTCCTAAACTTGGTTGTGCGAGCATATATTATTTTATACTGATTTCTGGTTCTACCTGATGAGATGCAGGGAGAGAGTTGGGAATCTATCTTTGTCAAATTTGCTTGCAAACGACGCATAACACAACCACACAAAACCTCACACGATACGACCTACCAAGGATAAATCAAATATCCAATTGACCGCCACCGTTCTAGCCAATAAAAGACGAAAATACCTGAGTCGCGGAAAATATAACACATCATAACGTATATCCTCACCCATGTCTTGTGTCAGTGAAAGATTTTAAACATGCTTACTCCATGTATACATTATTACCATATTGATGATGCCTGTCAGCTTTCATGTGCATTAAAAGACAGCATATTATTATAACATTCATTTTATTGTTATATTAGGAAATTGACTTCAAGCTTTACTTATTTTCCCAAGTATCTGTAATCCATCCAACGAATATTCGGGGTTTTTTGTTAATGAGAAGTCAATATCCCTATATCTCCTGATGTGGTCTATGGAATCACTAGTTATCAGGTATTTTCCAGAAACTAAAGACAAAATGACAGCAACCTTAAACCATGTAATTTAAACAATACTTATGCGTGCCTATACAACTGGTGTATCCTACATAGCTAGGAAAAAATATGTACCTTATTATCACTAATCTTATGTGTAATTTATCGAATTGATGATGCCTGTAAACTGGCGTTCCTCATGTACAAAAATGAGAATATATTATTATTAAATACTGTAAATGCAAAGATTCTATAACAGTAACACTTAGGTGGACACTACCTATAACGGATAATTTTAACCAGAGAAGTTATATTTAATGAAAAAATAGAACTAAATATTTAATGCTACCCGCGAGAGACCTATTAAAAAGTCCCCTATGGAGTAAAAAAAGAATTGAGTAGGAACATGCGAAAGAGTAACAGATCCTTCGAACTGCTCTCCAACAATTATGGTTGACCGAAACGCTGATATAGACCTTAATGACAACACGGTTCACCAAGACCCCTTAAATATCTTTCGTGTTCTTTACACTCGTCTTTCCTTCCTCCGGGTTTTGATCCGTATAGAGGCCTTATAGTATCCTAAAGTACAGTAAAGATCGGAAACAAAACTTATGAAAGGTTTATCAGCTTGACAGATTGGTAATCTGAATCACATTCTCAGAGGGTGCAGGCCAACTGGTCCCAAAGATGTGGAAAATAACATCACAGCATGCTCAGATATATATGCTTTAGAAGCACCAAACAGCTTGAGAATCCATGCACAAACTAGATGTTTCTTCAGACTATGTATTTAACTTTAGCCGTAGTTGGATTTTGGTGTTGGAAAGGCGTGCTTTAGCTTCTTGATTGGAGAGTTGGGTTGTTGGTTGATATTATACCATAATTTTCCCTGGGATTCATATGTTTGACAAGCGTTGCAAAAGCACGTTGTAGCCTTATGGGTTACAGGATAGAAGAATGGGAGCGCTGATACGTCTGAGGCAAAATGTAACTATTAAAATGGATGGTGATTCTGGAGCGTCAGTAACTATCCAGCGTCCACTGTAGTACGGGTTTTTTCAAATCTAGAAACCAGTTTTGTCTCATAATACAAGCAGGCTAACAGACGTTTAATTAGTGAGCATCGTGCCCAAATCAAAGAACCCCTGGTCAAATGCTGCATGTTGCTCATACGAAACGCAAAACTTCTAGAGGTACTGTATTCATAATGCTGGTATCCTTGTGCCGCCCGGAACTTCGTCAAGTCGCCTGCATATAAATGACTTCGGTACATGGATTTTAGTGCATGCGTTCGCATGAACTACACAGACATGAACAACAGTTATCCACCAGTTATCTTTTCTGCACTGAATCTTGACGCATGCGCTAATTCCTGGGTTGTTTGTCCCCTTTTAATACTCACTTATCCACTGCCAAAATATTTTTATTTTGGCCTAATAAAACAGACCCATTAGGCACTGATATGCCATCAGGTAACATTTCTAGTGAAGGTAAAGCCTTCCACTACGAATAACAGTAGATTTCTCCGATACTTTTTTCTTCCATCGTAATAAGAATATTTTATTCACATAAATAAGGCATTTGCATTATTGAGACACCTCTGCAAACGCTATCTGCAGCCCTAACGAAGTTAAGTTAGATGTACGTACAAATATCTGTAGCTTTCTTCCTTGCCTTTTCTTCCTTGATATATCCAAGTTCCTAAGCGATTAACCGATGAACTTTTCGAATGGCGACGTTTGACCTCAAGAGAGAAAAAGATGGCTTAGAAGTTTAGCAGGTTTTCTACCTGCAGAGACTGTTTAATTGATTCTTTAGGCTTTCATTCAAACCGGATTTTCGGTCGTCAGCAATTTTGTCTGACTACTGAACACGACTACAAATACTGTAGTCGTAAGACACTTCTCTTTGTGATGAAGTGATTCACACTTTAGGCTAATTTATTGATTAATGAAAAGTCAAGAACCTTCTGGGCCGAAATCGTCCCTCGCGCCCAAGATCGTTGGATGGATTAGGTAGCTGAAGATCACCTTCGCCCTTGTTTGATTGTTGTTTACTAACTAGTCATCCACACACTGGTTTCTGTGCATACACATGTACACGAAGTTAAAAGAGCATAGATTAATACTCGAAATATCATACGATACAGGGACGCATTGTGTACACGATGGTAAAAACGCCACCATGCAGTCTAGACATTTAATCTTGATACTGCATATGCATTTTTTCGTGCAAACGGAAATCATAGAACAAATTTATCTCCATTATTGATGATAAAGAATACTGAACCATAGACATTAAGTACGCAGTTTTAGTGGAAATAGTATGACACTATAGACTGGTAACAATGGAGCTTACTAGATTAAGTTCTCAGGATGAACACAGTTCATGTTCATAGAAATGCTACATATTGAGTCAGAGCATTAAGAAGTAGACTTATGCAAATTAAACGAGCAACTACCGACCCCACTACAGTGCACTTGCGACAGTCATCAGAATCACCTATATTAGTTAGCCTAGAAGTCAAATAAGCACGCAGTGGCAGAACTTAGTGAGGTTAATAAATTTTTAAAACACTGAATCCGCATTAAACTGAATTAACCAGTGAAATTGTATATTAAATCCTCTCGACTGACCATTGTTCCTGTACATATAAAGGATGACAAATGCATTATTGCATCTACATATTAACTATTTTTCTTACAGAAGAATCTGTCAAGTGATTTCTACATGCTGATAACATTTACCTGTCAAATAATGCTCTGCTTCACAAGTTAACGGACTATATGGATATCTTTGTCAAAAAGTGCAGCTTCTACATAGAAGTAGACTATTTCATCCTATTTATTTAACTGATATTTCAAAACAGTTCGCTTGAAGCACAAGCCAGAAAACACATAACACAATTTTATTCAGAATTGTTCCAAAAAATTTACCAAACAAAATTTCAACTGACTTGGCGAATAAACTAATCAAGCTTTCTAAATAAGCCATAATGACCTTCAGAAACGTTTAAGAAACCTCTACCTCACAATCAAGAAGCGAGCTCAAAGAAATCACTGGTTTATACTAGCTCGTAATCAGGATATTGGATATTGGATATTGAACGCAAGGTCTGCATTCAAATATTGCGTTACGAGTTAAGGATCTATAAGTTGCCAGTTATGGATACAAGTTCATCTGGAAACGCAGTGAAAATAGACCCAGAAGTCCTGGAAATCCAAAAAAAACTATACCGGGAAAATTTAATACACCAAGCGTCTCAGAAACATGGAAGCAAATACTTTCCGATATGTCTTGAGCCCTTTCAACATGAACGTGACCGTTTGGCGTTGAACTTCACCGCCAATGATCGTGTTGCTAGGAAGCAATATTTAGCAGATCAAATCTTGACGGATAGGGAGCCAGTAAACGTTCCAGAGTGGACACGCGTCAACATCTTCCGAAGGATGTATAGGAAACCTTATGATGCCCTGACAAATTTAGTCAGACCTCTAATTGTAATTCATTAGTTTATTTAAATATTACTAAAGGGTGACCATAGGAGTTGGTATTTTCGAAGGACAGTACCCAAGGTTACAGCGTTAATAGTATTTTCATGGTTATTTTGGTATAGAGTGAAATACTGTGATGTATGTTTCGATTTTTATTTTCTTCATTTTTCAGAATTGGGAGAAGAAAGCTAGGGCATTCAAATCGAGAACCTTGAGAAGGCCTGTTGTGTTGCCGGTAAGTTTTTTTTATCTCATCGGCTTTTGTTTAGGGACAAGCTGGCTATCCCGATATTTCCAGAGTGGTCCCCGAGTTTGGAATGGAAGGTTTTGATCAAAGAACAGCTCTCCGAGGTGAAAAGTTAGTTACAAGTGGCTATTAAAGCAGCGTTTCGTGTAGATTTTAAGAAATATAGTAGTTAACCTACGAAGTATTCTTGAAACTAGATAAAGTCAGGACACTAACTTATTCAAGCTTCGTGCAAACGGGTTTCCAGTCTTCAGGATTTTTTGTTTGGCTCCTGATACTTAAAGAAGAGGCAACTGGTTTGTAGTATATAACTGGCATGTTGGTCGAAGTGGCTTACAAAATAAAAGGACGTAAAAACCGTTATCAAAAGTCGCTCTGATATTCACTTTATCATTGTCAGTGGCTAACAGATACTGCAGTATTGGTCTACGTGGACTTGTGGCTTATGGATATGAAGTGACATGGTTACATCAATTAAATACTTCACTCATATGCTAAGCTGTATCACATCGGTCGTGGAGATATACTTCATTGTTTCAAGCAGTTGACTTGAAGCAATGGGTCACAGGCTCCAATCGCTCTCCATCTGCTTTATTCTGGGCTGCTGGTTTGTGCCATCATCTAACACAGGGATTCCGGCTCATTGTATGGTGCATAAAAGACCCGTCCCTGTAAACCTAGTTCAAACAAAACTAATAGACTTATTGCTGGGACAACCTCATCATAGGTAGGAAAGACTTGATCGCTTGCTTTTTATCATCTTCATGGCTGTCACCTATGAAGTACCTGCCTGTCCAATAGTTTGACCTGTTCTGTTTCACAACCTGTCTAATAAATGTGATAATGATGAGAAGTTTCGGCAGTCTGTGTTTAATTATTCATATTAAATCGTGCAGCATTGCAACAGTGTCAAGTGTAAGTGGTTAACCGATCATGATGGTTGCGGAACAATACTGAAATTGTTAATTCCTGAACCAATTTTCATGGACAGTGTAAAATCTAGGGAAAATTCGAGCTAGAATAAAGACACCGCGTATTAAACTGAAAACAAGCCAGAAGCTAATCGGTTATCCAATTGTTATTATTATAATAAAAACCATCAAACACGTAATCTGTAAGTTAACCGTTAAAGAATCTGGGTGATGCCAAACCACACATGTGAAATAATATGTATTAGAAAGCAGTGCCCAGAAACTCCTGGATACATCATTTGGGATAAAATTGTTAGTTAAGATAGTCCGTGAGAAGATTAAGCAAGCCCAAACAGAAAGAAGCGTGCGTCACATAGCAGCTTAGTGTTAGGTACCAGATTAACATTGGTGTGAAGAAGAAAAATAATTAGAATAATTGCGAACGATTAGACTGTGTGTGTCAGTTTTTGAGCGCAACCATAATCAGTCTAAATAAACTGTCTAGATTGATAATTTGCTAAGCTAAGATGGCTACTTTATTTTATTTAAGATCGACAGTATGCAATATGGCCACCAAGAGGTGCACCGAACAAAATCAAATAATATAGGGAACAGAGATATAAAGTAATTGCGAAACAACACAATAAAAAGAAATTGGCATAATTACTGAAAATGTTCGGAATTTTCTCCATATTACTTCCAGAAGTAGAGAGCAACAGGATTTCAGTATGTGTCATTGGCTTCGTTTCTAAGCTGTCTCGGGTCACGGAGTTGCGATTCACCGCCCTGGTGTTAATACCCTTCATCTCATGGCGTCATGTTATGTACCGATCACCTTCGCAACACGTACGAACCACACAGGTAATGGCCAGTGGTACCCCGGTAAGAAGTATAGCCTATAAGATGACTCTGCTTTCCTACCGAGATTACTAATATCACCATGTGATCGTCTTCAGCACGAGGCAGAGGCCTGTAGTTCAAAACAATTAAGTTTTGTTTAAATGATATGTATCTTAATAAATTTTCAACTATCGTATTTTTCTCCCCAGTTGTTGCGTGGAATATTTATCTCGGATCTGATTTATTAGCCATTCTTTTAAACGGTAATGAGTCCGGAGAAGCTTCCTCTAATTCGATTCTGAATTAATCATTGCTTACACGGTTTTACTTCCCTCGTAATCACTTTAAAGGAACTTTTGTAATGGTAGTTGCAAGGGTTTATAAACGCCGTTATATGCATTGAATACAAATGGTTGTGTAAATATTTGTCCAGATATAAAAGCTTCCACAGTTTGGTTTATGACAGGCTCTATACCTTAACTCGCGCATCCGTTGCTTGAGGTGTTTCGCATTATATGTAATGTAATATTAATGGGCGCAAAGAATTCTCCAGGCAAAATTAAGGTTCCTCTATTATTCTGCAACATCCTGTATCTTGATTTACTATGATTCATATGTCCATAGGTGGAAGTTTTTTTTACTACACCTTTTATCATTATTGGATAACGTAAGAAAACCTTTTAGTTGGCCATAAAATTCCTTACAAACAACTGTAGAAAAAGATAGAATGTTTCTATGAATCTGTTGAAGTTCGGATAATCATCAGTGGAATAATCGAGTCTTAGATTGGAAACCTTTGCCTTTCTTGATAGTGGATGCTGTTTCGAAATGCAGTGCTCATACCTCATTTTAGAAGTCTGTTGATGTATCTTAGTGACATGCCTGTTGGTCAAATTGTACCTAATAGCATCAGGTGTTGCATACTTGAGGCTTGCTACCTTATGCGTCAATGCTAGAAAAGTGAAGACTGTTGTCTCACATCTCAATTCACATTTAATCGACTAGTGAGCATATTCACAGTAGTTTTTCAGCCAAATTCTAATACTCTAAATAGCTTCTTCATAGATTTCAACATAGGCAGATGCGCTATGTTATCAGATACTACATATAGGGGTGAAGAGCTATTAAGTGGAACCTTTTCGAATTGTAGTGAGATCAGTTTAGAATTTAATAGTTTATCTAATCTCATCAATTTCCTGCAGCTTAGTTGTCTGCAAACAATCGATGATTGTTGTAAAACTATCCAGCTTTGTAGTAGCGAGTTGCGGGGTGAGTTAGGGATGTCAAAGCTGTCTAGGAGCCTGATTATCATGTCTCGCTGTGATGACCAGTTTTTTTATAGACTAGCACTCCGATAGGGGTAGTAGTAATGCCATGCTCATCCAGTCGTTAAAAAAGTTCGCGCAGCTGCTCTGGGGGTTCAGTTTACAATGCATCTACTAGTAGCAAGTCATTTATTCTACGCTAGACCAGAAAGTACCTGGTCCATACAACTTTGCGGGGTCTAAGCTACATCAGTTTGTTTGAATGAATTCAACTATTTAGTTTCTCCCAAAGTTTTCCATTAAAAAGAAGCATTAAGGCTGTTAGAGCGATCGGGAGGAATCATGATAATATCGACACTTAGAAAAGAAACTAGTCAATTTAGGAAAGTAAAAAGGATGTCATACTATTTTGAACCTTAGATTCTGCAGCGAATTCAAAATTTTTCAACTCTGGTCTTAGTGTGATTTGGGCTAAAATATTATCCCTATCACTCTGAGTTTCGTAATAGTTTAAGACGTCAATCAATAAGTGCGACAGTTAGTTTCTTTGGCTGAATGGCACTGTGAGACGAAGAAGTCATTATTATTAAGAAAAAGATTTCAGAGACACTGGAAAACTATGCCTAATCTGAAATCAAACAAAAATTTGGTGTGTTTTAACAGTGTTAGTGATTTGTTGGTTGTTGTCTATCTTGACCACAATACACCACTAGACAACTAGTCACTTGGATAATATCCCCAAAACTGAAATAGACGCGAGTCAGAACTAACTGCGACAAAAACAATTTTTTTATTCGTCACAACACAAAGTATATACATCGTTTACACACCCGCAGGAATTCAAACCATAAATTGGTAATCAATGAATAGACCTTGGAGGTCCTCCAAGACAAATCAGTCTAAGATTGTTCAATCAGGCTATTGTGTTGGCTCATACGTCAGTCATAACTTTGCAGCTAACGAAGATATTTGATCTGTGCTAACCAGTTGGTTACAGAATTGTACGACGGAAAGTAGGTATTTTGATAAAGAGCTATGCTTTATTACATGTTGGGTGATTGTGTTGTGACGATAATTCGCTTCTTTAAAGAATAAAGTTCTACGAAGGTCGGAAATTATCGCAGACTCGTATACTGCGTGTAAGTGGCATTTCCATAGCAAACGAAAAAAGGCCAGTGCAGCCTACTGCAGAAAGAGCTTCGTACATTAGTGGATCACACAAGATTATGTTTAGAAACTGGACGGAGAACAATCTGTAGAAATAAAAAGCAAGAGATGAAACAAGAACGTAAGGTCATATTCGGCATTAAGTTGCTCTGCAGTAATAGTTTTTCTGTTGTAAAGTATGCGTCAGCATTATTTTTAAGGATTTAAATACTACAGTTACCATTTTACATTAGATCGCGGACATGAATGAAGTGTAAACACTAGCACCATTTTGACCAATTATATTTCAATAGTTTTGAGTTAATCTGAAGTGTTCTCTTATTCGATGTAATATGATGAATAATATGCATAACACCCGCTATTTCCATGAGATTCTACCACCTTATCAACCAAACTAACTTAGCATAGAAATACGAACATTTTCGGAGTTATTTCTTTTAAATCATGTTAGAGATTTTTAGTTCAGGATGATAATGGGAAGTGAGCGACGTTCTCCGAGCTCTGATATCTGATCATAGATTTCTCATTGCCATGCTTCAGGACTAACATCATGAAGAATTTAATCGTACAACTTTCATCTGCTTATGCCTAATTTTTAGAAAGATTAACTATATATAGATTAAACACTGAAAGATACCAATTTGGGTGAAGTTAGTTAGAAAAGTACGTCCTACAAAGATGCACTGAAACAGAATCGAAGCAGTGCTGCATACTTTACTAGTTTCGCCGAGGAATATTTACAACATAATCCCAGAGTTCAAATGGACTGCATGGTTTTGGGATTGGAAGATTTAGTGGTTATTGATAATAGAATATGGTTCACATAATTAATTGTACGAAGCAAAATATAACATCAAGTAGCTACAGATTGCCTTATAAGCTTAATGAATGAACCATTTGA